ATAGGTCAGCCAGAGAAACGTATGGCGATGATGCTGTTGGGTATGTGCAGCTGAAAAGAGATCAGCAGACATGCGTTGTCAAATGCAAAATGTGTCCTGAACACAAAGTGCGTTCCAAGCCATACTCTTGCACACTTACTGTTGATGAACAGGAAGAAGAAATTAAAAGTGTAGTATGCCATGACTGTCCAGCATCTGAAGGTGGTTGTAAGCATGCTGTTGCTTTTTTAATGTGGTGTCATCGTCGGAGTGAAGAGCCACCTTGCACTGCTATTGAGTGCTATTGGAGGAAATCTACTTTATCTAAAGTTGGATCTTCTCTAAAAATATTACTTGCTAAGGACATATTGAAGAAAAGAAAAGGAAGTAGTACTCAAACCCCAGAAGTAGCACCACATAAAAGTGTCGCAGAAATCTTTGTGACTGAATGTAAAAAAAGAAAAATAAGCTCATGCCAGCTGCTCAAAACATGAGATTAACTATGCTGAAAAAAAATTAATATGCTTTCTTTACATTATTTGATGTGCAAATTTAATGAAAGACTGGATTGTAATTCATTTTTAAATAATATCAGTAGTGTATTTAATGATATTAACTTAAGAAATGCTGAAAAAGAGACAAGGCACCAGCATCAAACAAGCTTTTGGTATGAGCTACGTTATGGAAGAGTTACAGCATCAAAATGCTACGAAGTGAGCAAATGCAAAACTGTGGATGGCTCCTTAGTAGCGGCTATTCTTGGAGCAAGGACTCCACTAACTTCAGCAATGAAAAGAGGGCAAAAATTAGAAGAAAAGTAAGGAAAACAGTAGAAAAAAAATTGGGCCATAAGATTGAAAAATGTGGTCTTTCTATTCAGAAACATATCCTATGTTTGCAGGCTCACCTGATGGCATCTATAAAAAAAGTACTTTGGTAGAAAATAAAGTGCCCAACAAGTGTAAAAACTTTAACAAATTATATTAAGGTGGTGCTGTGACCAAAAAATATATGGCACAAGTGCAAATGCAAATGTTCTGTGCAAAAGCAGAAAAAAGTTTTTTTTGTGTTGCAAGTAGTGATTTTGAGACTTCCAATGATGTCAGTATTGTAGAGGTGCAGTATGATAGAAAAGTAGTACAGGAACTTTTGGACAAAATTGTTCCTTTTTGGAAAAATAATATATATCCAATTTTGTATGAAAGTACCAAAATATAGAACATGTAAGTATTTATGTGTATTGTTTTATTTTATATGCTTTAGCCCAAGGCTTCTACCACTAGCTACAGTACCTTGTCTTAGGATGAATCTTTATTACCTATGCCCCCGGACCTCAAACCACACCTTAGATAAAATCCTCAAACTTATCTCCTCTATACTGAGTTTTAACCAAACTTGTTCATAGGATAAAGAGAAAAGAAGTAACAGACAGACTGCCAGAGTTACTTTTGCATTTCTAACTAGCTCATGCAAGTTACCAAAATCATGAAAAACCTAATATTTCTACTACATGGTTATATCAATTACATACTGTCCACTTTAATGTAATAAATAGCATATGTCAATATCTGGTTTGAACAGTTGGCTGGGATATTATGGGTATAAATAAAAGTTTAAAAAAAATTGTATATGTATTTATTTAATAAGACTATCTTGTATGTTAATCAGAGCACATGCAGTAGTAATACATTCATCAAGAAGGTGAACTAAATTTATGTTAACCACAGAATGTGGTTTTAAAAAAGCAAACTCCCGGATTCTTCGGATCACCCTTTCCACATGAATCCGGAGGCTTGCTATTTCTTTTGTCTGACGTACCTCAGCTTTTGACAGTTTGGAACCACTACCAACACTTGGGGGCCTTAATAAAGTTATGTTCTTTTTAGACAAATATGTTTCAATGTGCTTGAATCCTCTGTCAGCTAAGACACATGTGTTTGATGGGAGAGTATCTAAAAATTTGGAGTGTTCGAATAAATGTACATCTGTTACTCTTCCGCCATATCCTGCAGATATAAAACTTATTAATCCATCTGGAGTACAAGCAACCAAATATTTTATTGTGTTGGCCTTCTTATACTCGGACCAAGTCAGTGCTTGGTGGACTGCATTAGTGGGTTTCTGTATTTCTATCTCCAAACAATCTATTATACAACTTACTTTATTATATCTATGTCTAAATGCTATTGGTAAATTTAATTTTATTGACTCCGTTGTAAACGATCTAATAAAAGGTAACATTACTTTACTGATTGGTATTATGTTGGTTGAAAAAAGTTTACTTGCTTGTGATAGTGACAAACCAAAATCATCAGATATTTGTGAAAATGAGCTATTTAGCCTAATTTTTGTCAAACACAACAAAATATTTGCCTCAGAAATGTTTGTCTGTGTTTGTATGATATTTAGTAAAAAATAAAGTTCCTTAGGGATAATATAAATAAAGTTCCTTTCCATTGTAATAATTTAAAGTAATGCGATGGTGAGTGATCATCATTAAACTTAAGTTGAGTTAATAAAGTGGGCTGTATGGTTATTTATTAAAGCACTCTCTTGTGTTTGACTGGGATTACCTCTTGTATGACATGATGTAAATGGTGTTTGGCTGAGATTCACAACCTCTCTATGACACGATGTAAATGGTAGGATTTCAGTTAGAAACAAAATTTCCCTTTAGGTTTAAATATATTTTATCATTTTAGCACCATCAAAGCTTGGTAAATAAAATATACTTACGTGATGTTGATGAACCAGGTTGTACACTTGTTGAAGAGCTCTCTGCTTCCTGGCCAGGACTCACAATGGGTATATTATTAAACTTAGATGGTATAATGCCAGGTTTCATTCTGATTTTCTTTACTGAGCCCATTATTTTATATTGCATATAATTTTCCATGTCTTGCTCTAGCTAAAAACAAATGTTAATAATTATTGTAGGTTATTTAGCTAAGCAGAGCAATGATACCGAGCTATGTAGTAAAAATAACCTCAAAGTCTCGTTTACATAGTAAAAAAGAGAGTAATATCGTAATTTAAATAAAAATCAATAAAAAAAGCTTATGTACTTACGTCAAAGTGATCCTCACAAAGATATAAATGAGATTTCTTAGAATATTTTACAGGATCTCGTCCCGCGAGTTCCAACCAAACATTTCTCATAGAAACGTCGGTCGGCACATTAATAAATAACTTTTCTGGAGTCTTCAACGTAGAATTTTTACAATTCAACGCTACACACCAACGATATGGGCTATAAAAACTCATTTTTACTTGAAATTAAATTATATTAAATCACTACAAGAGTACAAGACAAACTGGCATTTTGACATTTCTTCATTTTAGTTTATATGACGTCAGTCGCCGCCACCATCATGGCGGTCGGTGTTTTGGCGCGTATATTTTAAGTCAAATTTTTGATATATTTTTTTTAACATTTAGCAGGTATATTTTGCAGAAATAAAAATAATCCTTGATTATCTGATATATATGAGCATTTTAAAAAATATTTGAAAAAATAGGAGAATAGCCTATTTCACTGAGACGCGATGACATGACAATGACAGTTTACAGGGTTACCATAAGAAATAAAGAATAGTCAAAATAATAATTTACGTTTTATTGATGAATTTAAGAATACATTCTGAGAAATAAATGCGAAATAAAATAGTTAATTAATGATTATTACAATGTCATTAAAATGTTAGTGTTTTCATCGAGTTTTAAGCTGGCAAGATGAGAGAACGAGACAAACGGGCTCCGTTATTGCTATCCTTGTCGGCTTGGATTAGCCTCGTGTGTTAATTTAAGTGCAACAGAATATAATATCTTAATACGTTAAAATAGGGTTTATTTTTGGAATTGTAATTATGCGGAGTTATCGGTCCTGCACCTTTAGCCAAAAGCCATTTAGCTATGGCATTCGGCGGTCTGATTGGTTGGTTCATTGGAGCCGGCCAATCAGAGCGCCGAACGCGTACTCGTTACGATTACTTTAAACGTAAATGAAACTCGTACTAAGGCCTCAGATCTATGCAAGACGAAATTTTCGATTAAATTTAAACATCCAAGTAAATTTTCAAGGCTTATTAGTTAAACAGTAAGTTTTAATTTAGTACATAGGTAATTACAGAAATAATTATATTAACTCGATGCCTAAACATATATAGGTAAAGATTATTATAGTCACCCTAGTTCTTAACGATGTCATACTTACCTGTGAAAAGATAATCCACAGCCTGATGATTCCTTCCTACACCACTCACAGAACATAATATATTGTTATCCTTTTTAAAAATCCAATACACGATTAAAAGCACTTTATGAACTCAAAAACGATTAAAAGTCCACACGGGTTTGCAGTTATGACAACAAACAAAAAGAATATTTTTTTAAATCGACCGCCATTGTACATTTTTACCGACTTCAAAAAAAGGAGGAGGTACTATGTTTAGCTGATTGTTTATTTTTGTTCATTGATTACACCGCCACTTGTGAACTGAGTTCTAAAATTCTTGCATTGTTTGAAAGGGTATACTCCCGAAATGGTCCCATTTTCATGAGGTCAGGATTTGATGATGAAATCCTAGGGTAACCGCCATTGTAACAATTTTTGATATGGCTACTGTGCGAAAGGGACACACCAAGGTAAATAAAGTCTCATGTGGTTTCATTTTTCAGGGAAGATAGTGGTTATTTAAAAATCGCTCTATACTAAAACAATTTAGGTTCATTTTGATATATCAATAAAATAATAGTGAACCTTCCTGTTGTACGTAGTACTTTTACTTCCATGGCGTCAAGTCATTTGGCGCTTACATCATTTTGAATAATGTATAAATATGGTGATCCATGTCAGCCTAGTATTTATTTATGTATTTATTATTTATGTACACACATACAACACAAAAGACAATACATAGGTATATATAAAACAGTATATAGGCCCCACATATTCCAACTGGAATTTCTACCTGTGGGCCTGTATGTGTTATGCGATATAATACTTTTAGTTTAATACATACCTGCTGAACTTGTTTGAAGAGGTTGTTGTGCTAGGGAAGTACTTGGTGTAAAACTTTCTTGAAGACACTCTGCTACTGTAGATATTCTCTCTTTTTTTATCATATATGGCCGCTCTGCACTGTTGCAGGTTCCTTTTCTTATATCTTCTTGACATTCAAATTTACTTGGTAAACAACCCGGTTTCATTCGCACATAAGACACCTTTCCCATTATATGGTACTCGGTATAATTCAGCATATCGTTTGGCAACTGGAAAATATTAACACTGTGTTTTAACACAATACAAATATGAGATATTCTAACCTCAATTTTAAAACAAAAAAACTTTGTTTTTTTAAGATTTTTGAGTTGAATATGTAGTCACAACTTTTTTTAATAATACTTACATCGAAATGATCTTCACAGAAATACATTCTCGATGTTGTTGATAAACAATGAGCATCACTCCTATTTGCCAGTTTTAACCACTTTCTTCGCATTTTATCCTTAACCGGAACACGTATAAATAATTTAGTCGGAGTTTTTCTACTTGTATTCATACACTGGGGCACTATACAGTGTTTAAAATACGAAACTTCCATTTTTATCAAACAAACTTTCGCCGTAAGTGAACACAATCGCTTGCAATGCAACTATGTGACGTCAAACGTCAGTCAAGCCGCCGTGACACAATGACACTATCTTGTGTTTCTACTACGTCAGATTAAATTTTTTTTAAACTTAGCATCCCGTGGTTTAAGAAATAATTTTTATCATTTTTTTTTTTTAGGTCATACAGGTACTAAAACAAAACGAAATAAGCCATTTTTGAAATGCACGACACAGGCCTATTGTAGAAATGGCAAGCTCCAAAACGTGTGCCGTACTGCCGTGCCTATGTGTAGAAGTGTATTAAAAATTTAAAAAAATACTATCGTTTTATTTAAGGTTAATTGGTAAACAGGCAATAAGCCTTTAAATATTTAATAATTTCCCATTGACTACAGAAAGTGGATTTTTTTACAAAACATGTTTTTTAGTTATGTATCTTGTAGATTTATTAGTGCACAGGCAATAATAACATTTTTTTTGTAACACGATGGAAATTTTCATGGACTTCCCACGTCGTGGCGGCGACAGGGTCAGTCAAATATTTAGTAAGAAGAGAAGCGGGGACCAGAAGAAGGGTTTTTTAAGGGGGGAAAATCATCGAATGACTGCTCCCGCCTGGGTGAGGTGGGAGGGAGTGTTAGACTCTTACTGACTAAAAACCACCCCGTTCCTTCTCCTGCACGTCGAGCCGGAGCCCCGGTTACCCGTTAGGTTCTCCGCGACTCCGAAACCAGAAGGGTAGCAGACTTTTTTCCAGGGAGTTGTAATACAATGTAATCCGATATTATTTGCATCGACTTAGGTATTATTGGTTTTTGTATTAATAAGTTTGGATTATTCAAATAAATGACGTGTGTGTGTGTGTGAGTGAGAATGAGTGTCGTGGTGGCCCGGAGGTTTAAGACGCCCGCTTCTCACGCATGAGGGTGCAGGTTAGAAACCTACCAACGGCAAGTACCAATGTGACTTTTTCCGAGTTATATGTACTTTCTAAGATTATTTAGACACCACTGACAAACGGTGAAGGAATAACATCGTGAGGAAACCTGGACTCATAATTTCTAATTATAAGTTTGAAATCGCCAACCCGCATTCAGCAAGCGTGGTGATTAATGCTCAAACCTTCTCCGTGTGAGAAGAGGCTTTGCTCAGCAGGGGGCATTTATAGGCTGTTGATGAAATAAATGACGTAGAACGTGTAAGACATTTTTGATTTCAACCACCTGAATCACCAGCACATTACACTATGGGTAAGTATATTAAAACAAACCTATTTTAAATAATTGAACTGGTAAGTTTTTACCCACCGCTATTGTTTGCCGTGCCTGATATTGATAGAATGTCCTCGGACAATAATTCTTGTACTATGTCCATACGCTGTCTTTTGCTTACAACTGATCGAGGTTGCGAAGGCCTTGTTCGCTTTATTCTGTCCGGTTGACATTCAAATTTCGATGGCAGGCAGTCAGGTTTCATCCTTATCTTGCCAACAGAACCCATTATACTGTATTTGATGTAATTTTCCATATCATTTGGGAGCTACAAAGAGAAACATATAAACGTAACAAAAACTTAGGTTAAGTTAGGTAAGTACTATTTATTTTTGTAAAATCACGCTAATTTCTTATAAATATACCTAGGTACTTACATAAAAGTGGTCTTCACAAAAGTATATCGCAGATTTATCAGATGTAAACTGTGGGTTTCGGCGTGCTAGTTTCAACCACTGCTTTCGACGCTTAGGGCATTTAGGAACGGTTATAAACAATTTTTTAGGATTTTTAACTGTCGTACTTCTACACATAGGCACGGCACACGTTTTGTAGCTTGCCATTTTTACAATTATATGAAATATCTGTGTTAAATGTTGTTTCTACTCAATATGAAAAACAAGAAAAAGTCGGGAAACTATTTGTTTATTGAAATGTGACGTCTTACAATGCTCAATCATAGCCGCGCTGGCCGCTAGCGTTTTGCTCATTATCATCATCCACAGATAAAAAAATATCAGATTATTTTCCAAAAATAAAATATTACAAGATTATTAAACGAAAAAGCCACACAATTAATAACGTATTGTCTTCATAAAAGCTACCGTAAACAACATACGTAGTTTGTATTTTTAACCGACTTCAAAAAAAATGAAGAGGTTCTCAATTCGACCTTTTTTATGTTTGTTCGCCGATATCTCCGTTATTTATGAACCGATTTCGATAATTCTTATTGTTATTCTTATGTTGGAAAGGAGATAGTCCCAGAATGGTCCCATGATAAGGAAATCAGGATCTGATGATGGAAGACCAGGAAAACCGAGGGGAACTTTTAAAAATTATAGGGGCGACTAATGCATTCGTCAATTTTTTCATTAAGTATTAAAAAACACTACCATCTGATAAAGTTCTGGAGCCGATCTGATGATGGAGCCGAGAGCCAGTCGAGGAAACTCCTCAACGGTTAACAGCTACCTTGCGTTTGATTCATTTGTATTGATGAGAAGTTTACACCTAGGTGAGGTGTAATTATCAATAAGGGTCTGATGATGAAGTAGTACAGTAGTTGAGGGAACTCCTCAACGGTTAATAGTAGCTATGTTGTGTTGGGGTTTGATAATTTGTATTGATGAGGACTTTACATCTAGATGGGATGTGAATGATGAAGTAGTACGATAGTTGAGGGAACTCCTCGGCGGCTACGAGTAGCTACTTTGTGTTTGTAATTGATAATTTGTATTGATGAAGACTTCGCATCCATGTGGGTTGTGTATAATATAATATATCAAAGTACTAAACTAAAAAGTATAAAATAAAATTAAAAAACTGCGTTTAAAAAAACCGACTTCAAAACTAAAGACAAACGAAAAGTAAAAAATAAAAAGGAAAAAATAACTATTATTGGTCATACGTACTTATAGCTTACACACCCACTGATAGATAAGTCGGTGTTTTGGCGGCAATGAAAAATATTTAAAGTAAAATATATTTTATTTAATACTAGCGACCCTCCCCGGCTTCGCGCGGGTGCAATATGCATGTATTCTAAATATAAACGTTCCTTAAGAATCACTCTATCTATTAAAAAAACCGCATCAAAATCCGTTGCGTAGTTTTAAAGACCTAAGCATACATAGGGACAGACAGACGGCGGATGGCGACTTTGTTTCGAACAATTTATTTGGTCTTACTAAACTTCATTCTAGTCTACCTTAAGCGCACCTATAAACCTTGTTTCCACTAGGTACTACTTTGCACGCACCATGACATCATCATATTGCTAAACATATTGGAAATCAGCGAAGATTGGAGCACTCACACATTGGAGCCCAAATGGTCCCGTTCAGTTCAGTTTCAGAGGAATTTTCTCCCACGGACCCTCGATTGTGGAATGAACTCCCTGCTGTGGTTTTCCCAATGGGATACAACATGGGGTTCTTCAAGAAGTGCATAGGTTTCTTAAGGGTCGACAAGACGCATGTAATGCTTGGTATTGCAGGCGTACATAAGCCACGATAACCGCTTACCATCAGATGGGCCGTGTGACTTTTTGCCAGCGTCGTAGTATAAAAAAAAAGATCTCGTGTTAAACCAAATCGTCTGTCTACTTGATTCACTAGCAGCATTCATTGGCAATCTTGTTGCTAGAGGAAGAAATGCTGAGGATCACATCTCACTAAAGAACATGTGATATTTAACACCACAATAGTCATTAAAGGGCTTTCTAGTAACATTCGTTTGGTTGATATCGGTTGGTTGGTACGTTTACGTTCACTGAGTTTGGCTCAAGTAGGAAGTGTATTATGAACACATTACCCTCCTTTAATCGATGCAGTCCAGTAAAAATAGAAAGCTTGAAACAAAATAGGTAGAAAATAAAGTAAGATATGTTTATACATACATAACTTCACACCTGTCTCCTATGGGGGTAGGCAGAGACTATGGAATGCTACAGAATGATTGATAGGACATCAATCTTTTCATGCATGCTAGTCAGTTTAGGGTAAGTACTTTTACATATTATCATATACTTAGTTAAAAAATACGACAATGTACGAACCTTCGCTTTCTGTGGCAAGGCAGCAACATTCTTTAATACAGCCGTAGGCTTTAAAATGGGCTCTTGGTTCATTAATTTGCACTTGAAATAGTTTTTTAAATCTGCTATTGGCTGCAAGTGATAAGAGTGACAGCTTGAATATTGATCAGTTAAAGAGATAATTCAATACACTTACTTAACTCCTTGGAATTTGTTATAGTAAAACGGGGTGAATAGAATTCAGGGGTGAATAAATACTGAAGAGGGGTGAATGAATGTTGGGAAAATATTCTAACATTTATTCACGCGACGAGTCGCGACGTCGCTGAAACTAGTAGAGCTTTTCTCAGTATATTCACGTGAACTAACATCCACCTGTTCACCCACCTAAAAAGGCTTTTTTTCTCTTTTTTCTTTTTAAAAAAAAATGTTGCCCCACACTAGGATTATCTCCTGTGTCGTGGGTGCGGTTACAAACATACAAGTTCACATACACATGACACCCAGACCCGAAACAACAATTTGTGGATCACACAAAGTGTTGTTCCGTGCGGGAATCGCACCCGCGACACGTTGCACGGCAGCCGGTTGCCCAGCCACTGCACCAACCGTGCAGTAATAAATATAGTAAGTAAACGTCATAAATATAGGATCTGCACTACACAACATAAAAAAGCCTTCCTTAACAAAAACATCTTAGGTATGGCACCCAAAATCTTTAATATGCTACCTAAGGACATAATAGAAATGGACAATATTAATATATTTAAACTGTCAAACACCGGTGACCGCGACCTATTGTTCTTTAATTGTGTCTATAAAACCGGTATTCGATGAGTTAAAAAACATCTACGAATTTTTGGTAACTTTATTTTTTTTGTTTATGTTTTTTTATGGCATAAGCCGGTAAACGTGCACACGGATCACCTGATGGTAAGCAATCAGCGTCGTTTATGTACAC